GTCCACAACCATTTTTTTTCTTTTATTTTTTGGCACAGATTTTTCTTTTTTTTTAATTAAATAAGCTACCCAATCATGCATGCTAACTATTAGTACTAATGTTGGAATTGGCGGGCTCCTATATAAATAAATAACAAGAAGTCTTATTGTTAAACGAATATATATATATGCATGTGGATATCTAATTAATACTCCCTCCTATTTTTTTTAAATGTCATTCTAGTTTTTTCAACTATTTGCCAAATAAATGTTGTTTTGGATATTTTGTACATATTTTTTCATTATTATCCTCATTTAGCCAATAAATACATTACGTCTTTTTATATTCACTCTTCATTTTTTTTTGTCAAAACATTCATCTCTATCTTCATTAAATAAGGTTATTATTGACAAAAAAATATTCTTAATTAGTGTGCAACTTCTCAAAATGACATATATTAAAAAGATAAGGTAGTATGTTTTTACTACTAATACTATTAGATTATTACCACAGTACTCAGAATTACGACGATTAAATGTTTTAAAAAAAAAAATAATATAGAATTCATGAGTATTATATTTCATGATGTTGTGTTATAGAGAATGGATGGTCATATAAAGCATTTACTTCAAATGATTTGGGGAACATTGATTTGGTAGTCTCTAACCAATTATGGAAAGATATTGACTTCTGCGGGGCCCATTGACCGGTGATTGTTCCTTCAACTAATTTAATTAATCTCTTTATTTCATAGTTACCTCTAGAATATATAATTATTATCTGATTAAAAAATCACATAATTAATTAAAACAGATGCTATCTTATATTATTGTTTAATTCAAGGTTTTAAATAGCGGGCCAAAACGTTTATGGCACTGTAGCTATAGCGGAGATTTAGCGGAATTTAGCGGCTAAATTGTACATGAATACAAATAGCGGCACGCTGCAAAAAAAAAAAAAAATTATTTCTCAAATAGCGGCAACTTTAGCGAGCTATTTATTTCCTTGTTTAATTACATAATACTTAACCACTATCAAAACAAAGAAACTAAGTATATATGCATGCATACATGTTCTGCCATTAGGAATTTCGGTGTAGTAGTTTTTTTCTTTAATTAGCCTTAAGTTTTTAACGTAAAGTAAGTAAATTAATTATGATACTTTTGTGGCAGCAGCTATATTTATGTCATCAAGATTTTACGTATAAGAATACTTGTTTAACCACGTTGGCGATATGTATATGTAAATATAGATATAATGGTCAAATGGTCATACCTTCTTTTTTTTTTATCAATAGAAAATTAAAATTTAGACTATAAAATATTATATTTTAGTCTATATTTCATTTACAGTATCACCTTTTAGTATATAATAATAATTAATAAATATTTTATTTGCTTTGAAAATATATATGGTTGATAGAATATAATAATAATAAAACAATATAAAAAGTGTAACAACACACGCATAATCAAACAAACAAGCTGTTAATGTAACCATTACTTAGAAGATAACAACAACAACAACATAACTCTGGTAATAAACACACGCAGAGTCCCACACACAAAAAAAACATAATTTTTTTTTTTTTTTCTTTATTACAACAATGGTTACACGCAACCAGCTGCTACGTAGTACTTAAAGATCATATCAAACCCTCCATGTCCTCATTGTCAGCCCAGCAGCTGGTCTCAGCGAACACTGCATTAACACGACAAGCAACAAAAACAACACATTATTTAATCAATTATTAATAAAACACGTGTATAATAAATGTGATGAACACGTGTTGTTTGTTATGGTTAGACGTACCGTATGTCTGATATACAAAGAATTTGTGCATATATATATATATATATATATATATATATATATATAATAAAAAAATAAAAGCAAGCAACGTACTTGGCGCAGTTGGTGGAGGGGCTGATCTTATAGGGAATGGTGACACCGCATTTTCCGGGGAGGGCGGCGGCGTTTGCAATGGCGGCCTGTGGGGCACTTTGGGCCACCGATTTGAGGCAGGAGCAGACAGCCTGGCGGTCGGCCGTGGCGCTTGCCTGCTTGTAAAGCCCCTTTATGCCCTGGCAACAGGCCGGCGGGACCACAGCCCCACCGTAAAGCACGTAGCTGACGCACGGGTACAGGGCGTTCTGCACCGTGTTGCAGGACATCGCAGCCTCCGACGCCGGAGCAAGTAAGGCGGTCAAAGCCAGAGCCAAAGCCAGCCACATTGCCTTGTTCATTTTTCCTTTTTTTTATTTTTTTTTTTCTAATGGTTTGGTTTGGATGATTTGGTTTGTTGGGTTTGGAGGGCTTTAAATAGAGCTAAGGTTTAGGGTTTTTTATTTATTTATTTAGTTTTGGGTGGTGAGGTGAAATTAAGTGAATATATCTTTTTATATTTTAATAGTTTTTCAATATTAATGAAGAGGGGCTGGGCTGAGTTGTGGTTGGGGGGTTGTTGAGTTTTTATTGAATGCTCTGTGCTGTGCTGGGCCTTATCTCTTGGTTAATTATATTGGCATCAAACAGTCAATTTTGAATCTTGGTTGGAGATTTTGAAATGTGGGAAAAAATCCCCAAGTCTAAGCAAAAACAGAGAATTAACTGTAATCGACTGAATCGTCCGATCAAATGCACATACATTTGTATACGTTTGTTTGTTTGTGTGTTGATCCAACGGTAAGAAGGTTCGTTAATTAGTTTTAGAAGGTGCCAACAAGCAGCAGCGGCCGGCCAAGATAAAATTAGATCTTCTCTCTCTCTCTCTGACAAATGCATTCATGTGACAATACAGGATACTGCAGGGAAAAATTATTGTAGTATATATTATTTACAAAAGAATATTATTATTATTATTATTATTATTATTATTATTATTATTATTATTATTATTATTTTGGTGGACCAATTAATTCTCACACAAAAACGCTGATCTGGCCCCATTCATAATTTTTAGTTTTATTTTTATCTTTTATTCTCAATTATTATTATTATTATTCTTATTATTATTTTTTTGTTTGGAACAATGAATCCGGCCCACGCAGATGAAGTGAACCATAAGAAGGGAAAGCCCAGATGAAACCCAAGTGAATTTCCATCCTAAAATCAATTGGTGAAATAAAAGTAGTTTATTAGACTTATAAATCAATCATATTTTCCCTATATAAACGATGTGCATCAACTCACAAGTGAATATTCTAATATTGTCAATTTTGAGATTATAATTAATTACCGAAAAACTAGTTGATATAAAAGTTAATTGAATATAAAATGCTTATAAACTGACTAAAATAAGTTAACTAAATAAATTATAACCTAGATTATGGTGCTTACCGAACACAATTTTAGTTATCGACAGAGAGGACTCTTGTATATTCGTTTCAGTTTTTTTGATAATCTAAATAATATTAATTATATACTTAGTGGGAATTCTACGGTCACACAATATTTGTATTTTATTGTGTTG